ACACCAGGTCAGTCACAGAGGATGCGCTCCCCTTTTACAAGAAGACAAGGGTAAAGGACTACCCCCATGACAACATGAATGACAGCCTATGCTAACTTGTTCTAGCTTTCATTTAAACTGACCCAAAAGGCACAACAAGCCTTGCTTATTTTCCACCCAGTTTTCCATTCTATGCCATTAAGTCCTCTGGCCAAGTAGATCTGAAAACAGCCAACACGACTCTTTTTTTTTTTTTTTTTGAGGGGGGGAGGTCAGTTGTAGGGCTTGACCTAATAGCCCAGGTGCTGTCCCTGAGCTTTTCTGTTCAAGGCTAGTGCTCTACCACTTGAAGCCACCTCTCCACTTCCAATTTTCTGGAGGTTGTTAATTGGTGATAAGTCTTTATGGACTTCCCTGCTCAGCCTGAATTTGAACTGCGATCCTCAGATCTCAGACTCCTGAGTAGCTAGGATTACAGGTGTGAGCCACCAGCACCTAGTCACACTTGGTTCTTAAAAATCTCTAATGCACAAAGGCATATTAATGTTTTGGAAAAGGCATGCAGAAAAGAGACTGATTCATCATTAACAAAATGCCAATTTTATTTATGCAGGAAACCTGCTTTCTCCATGAGACCCTAGCACTTCCAATGTCATTTGACCACTGCATGTCATGGGAATTTAATCCCTAGTCTGTTGCTCTACAGCCTAAGGTGTCACAAAGGACACCTAGACCCTAAGAGATGCAGCAGATATTTGGAGTCTAGAAGCAATGACATTTTCTATGCCACTGAAAAAACAGAATGCTGGATCCCTTAGTTCCTGGTGAATAGTCACTTACTAGGTGTTACATTTGCTAGGCAATGGGAAATCCATATTTAAATAGCTCCCACTTATTATACCGGAAAGCAGGTTTTTTTTTTAATTTTATTTTATTTTATTTGTGAACATACTGTACAGAGGGGTTACAATTGCATGGACAGGATAATGCGTACATTTCTTACCAAGCATTGCAGCCTCCTCCTTTGTTTACCCTTCACATCCCTT